AATACTATTTTTAAGCAAATAATTTTACAGAGCCAATGTTACTTGAACGAATGCACGCCATCTATCTATCAAGATATTTTATTAAGGTAACAGAATTTATTTCGTAATTACAACTTGAAGTTTCTAGAATGCTTGAATGTGCTCTTAAGGTAAAACTGTTTTGCGGCGGTTGATCTTTATTATTATTTTTTTATTTATTTATTATATCCACTTACTACTATCATTACAGGATTGCCCTAATACGATAGATAAGTCAGACTTTAGTTGTTAGATATCATAAGCCTATAAACTAAAACAGAAATAACAAGGTAGCCTTTGTGAACTCGTTCAGAGAACATCCGAATAAATCAATCCGCTCAGCCACCGCATTGAGCGTACGTAGTGGGCGGATAATAGGTTGGTTCTCGCGTATATATAATTTGAGATATAAAAATCTAGCAAACTTGTTTTGAACCCTACTTCAACATTGACTTATACTTATCTTCATTTGGAGCCCAAACACAAAGTTTTACTCCAAATGAATTTTTACCATCGGTTCAGACAATATATTTTGTTTTATATGGATTTAAATTTAAGACATTTCTATTAAGCCACTGAATAATAGAAACCAAACCTTTTTCATTCACACTTTTTATATTGTTCCATGAGGTACCGTGAAATATAACAGTTGTGTCATCAGCAACAGCTACAGTTTCCGCATTTATAAAGTTTTGATTGAATACGTAATTTATGTAAATAAGAAATAGTGTTGGGACCAACACAGGGCCCTGTGAAACACCGAAGTATATTGGTACATTGATATATCGCTAATTAAATTAAATCATTGATTTTTACAGCCTGACTCCTATTCGATAAATTATCTGTTAATAATTCAAGCGACACCCCCCCGAACTCCCATATTTTCGAGGTTAGTTAGTAAATTTGGAACAGAGACAGTGTCAAAAGACTTTGCTATGTCTTAAAAAAAACTCCTATGCATTTGTATTTTTATGCAATCAAACAAGATAAACAATCAAATGCATATTCCATTTTTAACATTGATCACCGATAACTTGGTGATCAATGTTAAATCAGGTTCTCAAAAAGTTATTTTTAAATAATTTTTAGCATAAATACGGTGTTAATGAGAGGCTTCAACGCAAAACTAGGCACAAGAGGGAACGGTGAGCTGAAAGTAAGGAAATTCGGGATAGGGCAGCGGAAGCCAAAGGGTCAGCAGCTGACCGATTTCATGGAGAAAGAGGGACTCTTTATGATGTACTGTTTCTTCCAGAAGTGTTCCATAAAAAAAGAGATTGACTTCATTATGACTAGACGGCAACTCTTCAGTGATGTTTCAGTGATCGCGAGGGTGTAGACTGGCAGATCCAAGAGCGATCACCGCATGGTGATAGGCACACTGAACCCAAAATTGGAGAGGTCACGTCTTATGAAGTCAACGCTCCGTCCCCCTCGTGCTCCAAAGAGCTCCGAAAACTTTCAGCTCTAATAACAAAATCGTTTTTAGTCCCTAGAAGACTGCAGTTTAGTGGACGATATGAATGACAAGCTCGTGGAAACTGTCCATGCAGTCGGAGCTAAGTTCTGCAAGACCCGTCGTAAAAGAACACAAAAACTCCTATCACACTTTTAATGTCAGGGCTGTTAGACGGGAATTGAAGCTGCTTCAGCAGATATCACAGCATATAGGCAACGGAACATACTGATCTCTAAATACATGCGGCGGGACTTACGCGACTTCAATACAGCTCGTATTGAAGAAGCGATCGAACGGAACCAGGGCTCCAAAGTCTTTGCCAGAGATCTGTCTGCCAGAAAGAGCCAATCTCTAAGCTGAATATCGGATGTGGTAGAATCGTTTCCTGGGCATCTGAGTGAGACTGAGAGGTCCTATGGGCCAAGCCATACGCAAGTGTGAGTAACGATCCAAGAGCAAGTTTTACCCGACACTATTCCGATGATATCCCAGACGTCAGTAGGAGCGAGATTAGAACGGCTCTCCAGCACCTTAAAAACGGCAAGGCCACGAGCGAGAATGGAATTCAGCAGCTTCTGAAAGCCGGTGCTTCAGAAGCTCTTTAATTCCATCCTCCGTGGTTACACTACTCCGGAGGCGTGGAGCAGAAGTGCGGTAGTCTTGTTCTTCAATAAAGTCGACAACGCTCTCTTGAAGAACTATAGGCCGATGTCCCTTCTCAGCCACGTCTATGTGCTGTTTTCGAGAGTCATTACGAATCGCCTCGCGCGCAGACTCTACCGACTTCCAGCCTCCCGATTAAGCCGGTTTCTGAAAAGACTAGCACCATAGACCTCGTACATACCCTTCGGCAAATTATACAGAAGACCGAAGAGTACAATCTGCCTTATTTGTCTTGCGTATGTGGACTATGGGAAAGCCCTTGGTTCTTGCTCGGTGTTGCAGTCCCAAGTTGACTGTCGGTATATTGAAGTGCTGAAGTGTTTTTACAGTAGGGCTACGATAACTATCCAACTATCCGAGTACTGAACCAGAGTACGAAACCTATCCAACTGCGGAAAGGTGGAAGACAGGATGATGTTATATCTTCGAAACTCTTCACCGCTGCATTGGAAGATGTTTTCAAGCTACTGAACTGAAAATGTTACGGTATTAACATCAATGGCTAGTACATCACTCACCTTCGATTTGCCGACGATATAGTCCTTATGGCATAATCGCTGGAGGACCTAAGCACAATGCTCTCTATAGTGCATCCCAACGGATAGGTCTTAAGATGAACATAGACAAAACAAAGATCTTTTCAACGTTTATATCACATCTATGCCGGTAGTTATTGGGAGTACTAAGCTCAAGTTGTTGACGAGTATTTTTGCCAGGGACAAATGGTCCGACTAGGTAAGATTACGTGGTAGAGCCATGCTGCAGCTACATTAGTAATATAACTGTAGCACGAATGGGTCGGCTCGACCGGGGAAAGACCACGCTCTCACAGAATACCGGCGTAAAATAGCAGCTTAATGCTGCTGTGTTTCGTATGGTGAGTGTAGAGAACCGGAAACCCTTTTTACTGGAAACGAGGCATTCCATCTTAGTCCTAACTGGTGGCAACGCATCTTCATTTTAATTCGTAATCGAGGATAGATGTAGATGTCTATAGGCCACAGCAACTACTTACCATCAGGTGGACTGTGTGCTCGTTTGTCACCCTTATCCGATTCGTTGCGGCACCAATTTTCGACAACTTTTAGCTGTGGCGACGAACAAATATTTCATGACACGCCGGGCGTGTCGAGCGCCACAGACAATGACACGGCTATTGTGCCATCCGCCATGTGTAAAAGTAATGTTCTTTTTATGCTTTTTTTACTTGTTTAGACCTAATTAAGTTTATTTGACATCAAACATAAGTTACAAATGGAAGGATACTTGTTTTTAGTGGGTAACTACGTGTTTATTTACGATTTTTCTTTGAAATTGAGAGTAAGTGACTTTTTTTATGAAGAGAATAACCTTTTGTACTATTTTTTGTTGTTATAAAAAATCATTTATATAAGTAGGTACAGCTAAATCACCCTGGAAACCTTGGTTTTTATTAAATTAAATTTTCACCTAATAGTAACATTTGTAAATATCAAACAATGAAGAACCTTAATTTGAAGAAAAAAAAAGGTATATCATTCACTGATATTTACAAATGCTAAATATTATTTAATGTTATACAAATGTAAAAAAGTAAAGTCGATTTGAAAACGTCTAATTAGTAAGAATAGCAAAACAAGTGTTTTCAAAAGGAAAAAAACGCCGGCGCTATACGGCGGCGGATTGACAAAAGACTATTTATTAGCGAACTTTTTTTATGCATGAACGGTTTCGAACTGTTTCAAGCAAAAATAAACCTTATACCATATCAGAAGAGCACATGGTACTTCGTAGGTCTATTCGGCCATATGATAGTAATAATACGGCAGTTCAACCATTTTAAGCAAAATTAAACAATAAGACAAACGCATTGTTTTTTTTTAACAGGAGACTTGTTTTCCAGAAATTTAGTTACAACTTGAGTTTGTGAGCGATCGAAATGAGTGCTATTATTTGTTACTTATTAGACAATTTTTCCGTAACATGATTTAAAACCCACAAAGTAAAAATAGTACCATGTACACGTTAAAAAAAGGTTGTCAACCCCTTAAAATTTCAAATTTTCAAAATATCCAGAAACGAAGCTGCATGCATGAACTACTCGCAAAATAATGAATGTTTTGTTCTGGATAAATTTTCCAAAAAAGCAATTTGAGCGAGTTATAACGATTTTTAAAAAGACACGACTTGCGTGTCATACGCCACACAAAAGTAATCGATGGCACGCCTGGCGTGTCACCCGCAATGAACCGGTTATCCTATAAAAAAAAAGTACAACTTTGACCGAGATATCAATCGGCGGATTCAACTCGGCTGGGCAGCGTTCGGGAGATTACGACACATCTTCTCGTCAGTTATACCTTAAAACTTGAAAACAGGAGTGAACAATCAGTGCGCATTGCCAGTGATGACTTATGGATGTGAGACGTTGTCCTTCACTGCTGGCCGTATGAGGTAGCTTAAGATCGCTCAGGGAGCTATGGAAAGCTATGTCTGGGGTTCCTCTGCGTGATAGATAAACTTAGAAATGAAGATATACACAGTAGAACGAGTAACCGTCATATCCCAACGGATTAGTTAGCTAGCTGAAGTGGCAATGGGCCGGTCATATAGCTCGAACAACCGACAACCGATGGGGAAAAAAGGTTCTCGAGTGGCAGCTTCTTACCGGTAAGCGAAGTGTAGGGTGGTCCCCTAAGGTGGGACCCATAAGGTGGTGGATAGACTGACGACCTGGTAAGAGATGCAGGAAGTGGATAGATGCAGGTGGCTCAGGACCGTGCTTTGTGGCATTTCTTGAGGGAGGCCTATGTTCAGCAGTGGACTTGTGTAGGATTGCATACTACATCAATCATCATTAATCACAAATGTACAAATGCAGGTGATCCGGCACTACCACGGGCACCTGTCGGCCGTGTACACGCTGGCGCTGCACCCCACCATCGACGTGCTGGTGACGGCCGGGCGCGACGCGACCGCGCGCGTGTGGGACGTGCGCACCAAGGCCAACATACACACGCTCACCGGACACACGGACACCGTGGCCGCGCTCGCGTGCCAGGCCGCCGAGCCGCAGGTCACTATGTGTTCCATTTGTTATCTATTGTGCACACGCTAACACAAGGCCACATACACACGCTCACCGGACACACGGACACCGTGGCCGCGCTCGCGTGCCAGGCCGCCGAGCCGCAGGTCACTATGTGTTCCATTTGTTATCTATTGTGCACACGCTAACACAAGGCCACATACACACGCTCACCGGACACACCGACACCGTGGCCGCGCTCGCGTGCCAGGCCGCCGAGCCGCAGGTCACTATGTGTTCCATTTGTTATCTATTGTGCACACGCTAACACAAGGCCACATACACACGCTCACCGGACACACCGACACCGTGGCCGCGCTCGCGTGCCAGGCCGCCGAGCCGCAGGTCACTATGTGTTCCATTTGTTATCTATTGTGCACACGCTAACACAAGGCCACATACACACGCTCACCGGACACACGGACACCGTGGCCGCGCTCGCGTGCCAGGCCGCCGAGCCGCAGGTCACTATGTGTTCCATTTGTTATCTATTGTGCACACGCTAACACAAGGCCACATACACACACTCACCGGACACACGGACACCGTGGCCGCGCTCGCGTGCCAGGCCGCCGAGCCGCAGGTCACTATGTGTTCCATTTGTTATCTATTGTGCACACGCTAACACAAGGCCACATACACACGCTCACCGGACACACCGACACCGTGGCCGCGCTCGCGTGCCAGGCCGCCGAGCCGCAGGTCACTATGTGTTCCATTTGTTATCTATTGTGCACACGCTAACACAAGGCCACATACACACGCTCACCGGACACACCGACACCGTGGCCGCGCTCGCGTGCCAGGCCGCCGAGCCGCAGGTCACTATGTGTTCCATTTGTTATCTATTGTGCACACGCTAACACAAGGCCACATACACACGCTCACCGGACACACGGACACCGTGGCCGCGCTCGCGTGCCAGGCCGCCGAGCCGCAGGTCACTATGTGTTCCATTTGTTATCTATTGTGCACACGCTAACACAAGGCCACATACACACGCTCACCGGACACACGGACACCGTGGCCGCGCTCGCGTGCCAGGCCGCCGAGCCGCAGGTCACTATGTGTTCCATTTGTTATCTATTGTGCACACGCTAACACAAGGCCACATACACACGCTCACCGGACACACCGACACCGTGGCCGCGCTCGCGTGCCAGGCCGCCGAGCCGCAGGTCACTATGTGTTCCATTTGTTATCTATTGTGCACACGCTAACACAAGGCCACATACACACGCTCACCGGACACACCGACACCGTGGCCGCGCTCGCGTGCCAGGCCGCCGAGCCGCAGGTCACTATGTGTTCCATTTGTTATCTATTGTGCATACGCTAACACAAGGCCACATACACACGCTCACCGGACACACGGACACCGTGGCCGCGCTCGCGTGCCAGGCCGCCGAGCCGCAGGTCACTATGTGTTCCATTTGTTATCTATTGTGCACACGCTAACACAAGGCCACATACACACGCTCACCGGACACACGGACACCGTGGCCGCGCTCGCGTGCCAGGCCGCCGAGCCGCAGGTCACTATGTGTTACGATTGTTATCTATTGTGCACACGCTAACACAAGGCCACATACACACGCTCACCGGACACACCGACACCGTGGCCGCGCTAGCGTGCCAGGCCGCCGAGCCGCAGGTCACTATGTGTTCCATTTGTTGTATATTGTGCACACGCTAACACAAGGCCACATACACACGCTCACCGGACACACGGACACCGTGGCCGCGCTCGCGTGCCAGGCCGCCAAGCCGCAGGTCACTATGTGTTCCATTTGTTATCTATTGTGCACACGCTAACACAAGGCCACATACACACGCTCACCGGACACACCGACACCGTGGCCGCGCTCGCGTGCCAGGCCGCCGAGCCGCAGGTCACTATGTGTTCCATTTGTTATCTATTGTGCACACGCTAACACAAGGCCACATACACACGCTCACCGGACACACGGACACCGTGGCCGCGCTCGCGTGCCAGGCCGCCGAGCCGCAGGTCACTATGTGTTCCATTTGTTATCTATTGTGCACACGCTAACACAAGGCCACATACACACGCTCACCGGACACACGGACACCGTGGCCGCGCTCGCGTGCCAGGCCGCCGAGCCGCAGGTCACTATGTGTTACGATTGTTATCTATTGTGCACACGCTAACACAAGGCCACATACACACGCTCACCGGACACACCGACACCGTGGCCGCGCTAGCGTGCCAGGCCGCCGAGCCGCAGGTCACTATGTGTTCCATTTGTTGTATATTGTGCACACGCTAACACAAGGCCACATACACACGCTCACCGGACACACGGACACCGTGGCCGCGCTCGCGTGCCAGGCCGCCAAGCCGCAGGTCACTGTGTTCCATTTGTTATCTATTGTGCACACGCTAACACAAGGCCACATACACACGCTCACCGGACACACGGACACCGTGGCCGCGCTCGCGTGCCAGGCCGCCGAGCCGCAGGTCACTATGTGTTCCATTTGTTATCTATTGTGCACACGCTAACACAAGGCCACATACACACGCTCACCGGACACACGGACACCGTGGCCGCGCTCGCGTGCCAGGCCGCCGAGTCGCAGGTCACTATGTGTTCCATTTGTTATCTATTGTGCACACGCTAACACAAGGCCACATACACACGCTCACCGGACACACGGACACCGTGGCCGCGCTCGCGTGCCAGGCCGCCGAGTCGCAGGTCACTATGTGTTCCATTTGTTATCTATTGTGCACACGCTAACACAAGGCCACATACACACGCTCACCGGACACACGGACACCGTGGCCGCGCTCGCGTGCCGGCCGCCGAGCCGCAGGTCACTATGTGTTACAATTGTTATCTATTGTGCACACGCTAACACAAGGCCACATACACACGCTCACCGGACACACGGACACCGTGGCCGCGCTCGCGTGCCAGGCCGCCGAGCCGCAGGTCACTATGTGTTACAATTGTTATCTATTGTGCACACGCTAACACAAGGCCACATACACACGCTCACCGGACACACGGACACCGTGGCCGCGCTCGCGTGCCGGCCGCCGAGCCGCAGGTCACTATGTGTTACAATTGTTATCTATTGTGCACACGCTAACACAAGGCCACATACACACGCTCACCGGACACACGGACACCGTGGCCGCGCTCGCGTGCCAGGCCGCCGAGCCGCAGGTCACTATGTGTTCCATTTGTTATCTATTGTGCACACGCTAACACAAGGCCACATACACACGCTCACCGGACACACGGACACCGTGGCCGCGCTCGCGTGCCAGGCCGCCGAGCCGCAGGTCACTATGTGTTCCATTTGTTATCTATTGTGCACACGCTAACACAAGGCCACATACACACGCTCACCGGACACACGGACACCGTGGCCGCGCTCGCGTGCCAGGCCGCCGAGCCGCAGGTCACTATGTGTTCCATTTGTTATCTATTGTGCACACGCTAACACAAGGCCACATACACACGCTCACCGGACACACGGACACCGTGGCCGCGCTCGCGTGCCAGGCCGCCGAGCCGCAGGTCACTATGTGTTCCATTTGTTATCTATTGTGCACACGCTAACACAAGGCCACATACACACGCTCACCGGACACACCGACACCGTGGCCGCGCTAGCGTGCCAGGCCGCCGAGCCGCAGGTCACTATGTGTTCCTATAATTAAACACGTGAATGTCGCTAACAGACTGGTTTTATTTTTAAAGTATACATAGACAATCGTACAAATCTTATATAAAACTGGCATAGTACCATAAATATGCTTAATACAATATAGTGTCTACATTGCACATGAGATGGCGTTACTAGTAGCAAAATACAAATAAGAAGTACTTTTATTATTTTGATACATTGTTATAACACTCCCACTTATCAAAATAAACCAATAAAATTATTTTGGTACAATTCCCAATTTACGCAGAAACATAATGTTTAACAGGACATAAACCTTTAGTGAGAATATCAGCTGTCATTTCTTCAGTACATAGATATAGGATATTTATATATTTACACTTAACAACATCTCTTACATAATGATATTTCACGTCAATATGTTTCGATCTATTGTGACTTTGATTATTTATTGACAATTTTAATGCACTTTGATTGTCACAATAAAGCTCAATCTCATAAAAACTACCTATAATTTCATAAAGAAGATTTCTAAGATACACTGCTTCCCGAGCTGCCTCAGATAGAGCAGTATATTCTGCCTCTGTACTGGAAAGGCATACCGTCTACTGCTTCCTGCTTTGCCATGAAATAGCAAATCCAGACATTGTGAAGCAAAAGCCTGTATACGACTTCCTGTCTAAAGCGTCACTAGCCCAATCACTATCTACAAAACCCTGTAACTTGGTATCATCCTTACAAAATCTTAAACAATAGGTTTTCGTATATAACAAATATTTTAAAATGCGTTTAGCATAATGCCAATGTGTATGATTATAACCACTATTAAATTGGCTCAGATAACTAACAGAATAGGATATGTCTGGCCTAGTTAGTACAGCTAAATACATCAATGATCCAATTAACTTTTGATACGGAAGATCAGGTACACATTCATCAGCTTTCTTAACATTTAATTTACATTCAATTGGGGTTTTAAATGTTTTACAATCTGACATATTGAATATAGAAGCTAATTGTTCAATATATTGTTGTTGATCTAAAGTGATTGCATTCTTATATTTATCTACATTTATTCTCATGCCTAAATATTGTCTTACAGGTCCCAAATCTTTTAATTTAAATTCTGCACCCAAAACACATTTTAAATTATCAGTTTCAAGAGAATTATTAGAGAAAATTAAAAAATTCGTCAACATATAGGGCCACAATAATTTTAATTTCACCCTTTGTTTTTGTGAACAAACAAGGCTCATACTGACTATTTATGAAATCCAAGTTACAGAGTAAATCTTTGACTCTGTCATACCACGCAAGAGAAGATT